TCCACCAACCCAAAGGCAGAAGCGGGCTAAAAACCCTGTTTAAATATATAGATATAAATATATAGATATAGATAGATAGACAGGTCTGACCGCCACGTTGGGGTAAACTTTAATTTGTTCACTGCAACAAGTAAATAGGAGCAAAATGAAAAATTCTAGACATACCTAAAACAAGTCAACTTAAAACCACACTTATGGCATGCAACAATCCAGAAAACATAGAAAATTCAAATCCATCCCTACTGTGCGGTCTCTGCCCTGTTGATTTCTGGATATTCATGTCACGTTGTAAACAACCAGATTCACAGGAAATAACACTATCGCCCTGAATTTTGAAAACGAAGGACTGACACATCCCTGAAATCCATAAACCATACCTCCCAAGGGAAGGACGGACCTTCTCCGTGCATTTCCAGAGGCTGAAAATGTTCCCATATAACAAAGGACACGTTAGGAAGTCAGAGATGGGGCTAAGGAGGAAAAGGCTTTGGTGTGGGAAGCCAAGACGAACAGAAGATAAAAAGCCCAGTGAGGTCAGGACTGGGAGGCGGCCAAGTGGCCCTGACAGCCGCCCGACCGCACGGGACCCTACGGCTCCGCGCGGGGAGCCGAGGGCTAGTGTGGGAGCGACAGCATCCTCACCTTGCTTTTGGTCCGGCTGGCTTTGGCCTTGGCCCGGCGGGGCTTCACGGCCTCGGCCATACACTCTGACTCCGCGGCGTCGCCGTCTGTTGCTGTCAAACTCCTGCAATTCACGCAAGCCGTCCAGTTCCGGCCTCCTGCCTGTCATGTGACGGCGCCTCCGCCACTAAGGGAAGGGAGGCGGCCGCAGGTACCCGTACGGGCTGCGACTTGGAACAAACTAGCCAGGGACTACTTGCGCGGGATGGCCCCGCCCATTCTCACTCTGGTCACGCCCCTGGCCAGCCCTCGCCCCGCCTCCGGTCCCGCCCTCTGTGCCACGACCCGTGTAACCGACGCAGGCCGCAGGGGGGCACTCGGAGCAGCCCTCTGCCTCCCCAGCTCCGCAGAGAGGTCTTCAGACTGGATCTTGCAGTGCCAGAAGAGGCCTTGGTAATCTGACTTTGATCCCTAGACAACCAATTCCATCCTAAATATACTTTACGTTTCCGGAAAGAAGCCGGATGTCCATTCAAAGTGTACTCCAGTCTGCTGCTTTATAGAAGGAGATGATGGTACTACCATCTTGGGTGTCATGAGTTTATGTGGAAGGCACTTGATAACAGCAGGCATCTCTATATTATCGTTACTATATTTAAAATACGCGAGTACTTTGTTCTTGGGTTTATTGGTAGGGTCTGTCAACCCTCCTGGAGCGTCAGCTCCTCAGAGCAGGTTAATTCTTTCTCTGGTGTATCCCGAGGACCTCCGAAACAATAGCCAGCACATAGGAGATAGTATCTGATGAATGGAATGGAAGGATATGAGTTGTTTTGTTGGGGTCATGAAAGGGTTCAGAGGAAAGCTACGTCGCTCCTGGGTGGACCTTCCTAAAGCGGCTCTACAAGATCCTATGCTGGCATCTCTGTTGCCCTCCGGTGGTCATTCCCAAGTAGTGACAACTTCTACGGAGGATTTTGGAGTTTTTCATTGTTGCTGTCAATTACTCCCTGCACAGCACCCTGTAGGAGGCCTTATTTTATCCTTCCTGATTACTAAATAATACATGTTGTGAAACTGATGTGGGTTCCGACTAATTTAAGCTAAAATTACTTCAGCATCTTGAATCAATCAGCACGTAAACTGAAAAGTGGCCAGCTTATATATTGATTTTACTGGACTCTGCACAGATGTGATCTCTTCCATGAAAAAAAAAAAGGCTTGTGTTTCCACAGGAAGAAAAACACACAAGGTATCCTTCTTCTATTCCTCTCCCTTTCACAATCTCCTCCACTAAAAGAAAGTGAGGAAGTTAGGTCGCTGAATTAGTTATTTTTACATCCTCAAAGCATCAAACATGCTCAGACTAAACCAGTCAACACCTTGATTTCTGACTTCAGTCCTAGAACCGTGACAGGGAGCTCTCTTGTTTTAAATCACCCAATTTATAGCTCTTCGGCAGTCCAGCTTTCTGATACAAACTCCCAGCAGTGCATCCTTTGGTCGGACTAACTCCTGTCCGTACTTTGTACTGTTTTCCAATTTCTGTGGGGAAATTAAAGCACAGTCTCCCACAATGGCAATTTACTTACTAGCATGTTTCCAAGGATGTGTGTGTGTGCGCGCGTGTGTGTGTGTGTGTGTGTGTGCACAGAGCTCAGAAAGCGGCTTTCAGGAATCAATTCTTTCCTTCTACCGTAGGTTCCCAGGGTCAAACTCAAGACCTGAGACGGCTTGGCAAGCACCCTTACGGACTGAAGCATCTCCCCAGCCCTTTACAGCACATTCTTTCTCCATTTCCTTCTCATCCCTGCCTCACTTCCTCTTCGGCTGCTGTTTCATTACTCACTTCTGAAACACACTATGTGATCTCAAATCCTTCTCTCAGGATCTCCTTCTAGGGGACTTCAAGCTAAGACAGCGAACACCAGAAACAGTCCTTGAAAGTGTTGGGACAGGGTGTTAGTGTTGCTCCCACCCACCCAGCCAGAAAACAAGGTTCTCAAGGGAGGAGAGGTATGAGGACAGTGACTTCATCTGAGTTGCAGCCTCACCATCACTGAGGCCTCTCTGGTTACCATCAGGGAAGAATCCGGGTAAAAGCTTATGCAACTTCATTAGCATTTAAAAACACGGGGCAAGCATAATTCTAAGGACCGCAGTGTAAGCTGGCTGTTACCAGCTGCTGACCCTACACTGTTGGAAATCACAAGCTCGGGACACTCGGAGAAGGATGGAGGAGCTGGAAAGCTGCTGCAGCAGCCTTGAAAGAGATGAACAGAAACCAATGAAGAAATGCATTTTGTAAGAGCATAAAGTAGATATGAATATGAAAAGAAATCATGTCACTTCTACACTGCTTAGCTTTCTTCAGATCCCATGAGTCCCACACCAGGCAGGCCCATCAGCTGTCCATGATGCAAGGGAAATGGTGCATTCTGCCTGAGCATGGTTATTCAGCACCCAGGAGGCAGAGCCAGAAAGATATTGTATTCAAGGTCAGTCTCAAATACACAGCAAGAACCTGTTTCTCAAAAGGGGGATTAGGCAAAGACTGGAGAAACAAAAATGGTGCATTCTGATTCTGCCATAAGCAAATCTAGAAGACTCAGGTACATTAACCCATTAGGCAGACACATCAATTACCGTCCTGTCGTGGATCTGTGCCTCGCTACTTCACTTGAGGCCTCATAAACAATTCCTTCAACCCACCTGACAGAGGAGGGGAAAACTCAGACATGGTTAAGACCATCTCGGCTCTGCACTTATTGTTTATGTGGGCGTGGCCTGCAGCCACAACTGCAAAACTCAAGAGTGACTAAAACAAAGATGACAAGATGTACTCCCAGTCAGTGCTGTGTCGATGGGGCCAGCTCACCAACGCACCAGGAAGGTGAATGATGCCTGGACCGGTGGACTGGACAGGGAGGACAGTCTGAAGACTGAAGGGGAGAGGAGGGAGTGGGCTGGATTATGTGAATAAACAACAAAATGTGCAACTGTCTGTGTCTTTCATGGTGCCTATAAGGGAACTGCCACCACTGCCGCAGGGTGGATGCAGAACTGCAGGGTGGATGCAGAACTGTGTAGCAAGGACAGCTCATCCGGCAGACTGTCCTGGATGAGGACTCTGTCGTTGGCCGCCCCAGTGCATCCTTGGTAGGCCCATGAATAGAAAGGTCATGGTTAGAGAAATGAGACTGTACAATGACCCTCCACTGACCCCATGTGACCTAGTGACCAGTGCAGATAATCTGCGTTGAGACTGAACTCTAAACCTATCACCATCCCGCAAAAAAGAGCAACCAGTAAATTAAAAACAGCAAATCTCTCCCGCTCTGGAGGAGCTAATGGCTTCTCCCTGCCAGGACAGATGCCAAGAATGGGTTTGCCCTTTAGCCTATAGTGTCTGGGCAGTTCATAGAACTCCTGATATGCCATATGAAATCCCACTTAACGTTACCTTAGACTAGTATTTCTCAAATTATTTTTCCATTATCATTCCCCTAAGAACTCTTTTAGATACTTCCCTAATTGCCATTCTCATGAAATTTTAACACGATAGGTATATTATATCTTTGGTTAGATGCTATGGATGTGCTTTAGATCTATGAGAGAAGAGGGGAGAGGTTCGGGACCGCAGAGGTGGCTCAGTGGGCAAAGTCTAGTAGTCAAGTGTGAGGACCTGGGTTCTGATCCCTAAAACTCACATAAAAGTCAGATGTGATGAGGAACTGTTGGGGCTGCAGACCCCTGGCCCCTTGACTTTCGTTGCCTGCCTCAGACCCTTTGCCTACTGGAGTGAACTGAGCAAAACACCTTGTTTACCTGTGCCTGCAGCTGCTCTGAGCACAAGACCCTGATAGCAGGGGAGTGGGTTCTAATGAGGCCTGCAGCTGAAAGATCCCGAGAGCTGGGGCGTGGTTATCAGTTAAAGATCCCTATGAAGCACAATACACTTGGCATTCTTGTATCAAGGATGACCTGTGTCCCCGTCTCTCTGTCTGTCTGTGTGCGTGTGTTTGTATGTCTCCAGCTTAGTTCCCAACTCACGTACCGTCCCATAGTGCAGGCTCTACAAGGAACAACTGTAACATCAGGTCTTCTACATCGTGAGAAATAAGGACATGAAAGTCCCCAAAAGCTCAAAAGCCAGCTAACCTGACATATACAGTAGCAAGGAACAGAAGGCCCGTGTCAAACAGAAGGCAAAGAGCGGCCCAAGGTGATCCTCTCACCCCCACACATACACACACAGGGGCAGGAGCCTGAACTCACACACACACACACACACACATACAGAGAGAGAGAGAGAGAGTCAAAGGAGCATGTAAAGCTTAGAAGAGATGTATGTTCAGCACAAGAATCCATGCTAAATCCCAAATCAACAGGAACTTTTATTTTACTTCATGTCAAGCAGACAAAAAGCAATAAAATTAAAATATTATTTGACATTCATGAAACACGTTTATATCAATTATGCTGATTGACAGAAAACATAAGTCATTGAGGACTTGCCAACAATAAATAATACACTTAAAAACAGAAAGTTCTATGTGCAATAGACAATTTCCTGAGGCTTTCCAGTTTGGGGAAGTCAACGGACCTTTGCAAACCTGAGTTTCTCAAAAGGATGCCCAAGTGGTGCAAATTTCCTGTCGTGACAAGGAGCGGCCACAGCTAAGAGCATCTTACATTGAAAGAGGGGAAATAATGGATCTTCGTGCAGGGGGAGGTTGAGATGGGTTCTCACTGTGTACACAGGCTGATCTCAAACTCAGTCTTCCTGTCCCAGCCTCCAGCATGCTGTGATCACAGGCAGGCACCTCCATGCCTGGCTTTCAATCTTATTTTAATCAATGTGACAAAGTCCTGGGAAAGCGACTGCAGAGGCGAGGAACACATTTGCTCTTTGCAGTGAAACAGACACTTACAATACCCAATAAGACACAGTGCTAATGCACGTTGTCATAACCAGTACCAGTGTGCCACTTTCCCAGGTGTGAATACCACATAAACAGTACATGACCTCCTGCCGTGTGGGGCTGGCAAAAGTAAGAGACAAGAATGCCTCTTTAAATGTTCCAGAGCACAGCAAGGGATGCATTGGGGGGCATGCATGTCAATCACAGGCACATGTGTGGAGGCTAAAGTGCATGCATGTCAATCACAGCTATGTATATGCCACAACACACGTGTGGAAGCCAGAGGCTAACAATGGAGTGAGTTCCAGTGACGGCGCTGAGGTCCTCAGGCTTGCACAAGCACCGTGACTCACTGATCCAACGTGCCCGCACTCCTTTAACTTGAGCACAAGCTTGGCAGCCTCACCCAGGGCTAGACAAATTGTACCATAGAACAAACTCACAGAGTTTGTAAGGCTATCAGAATTGTAAGGAACCCGATCTCACCCTGCTGGCTTCCCCGTCTGTAAAATGAGCAAGACCAATCGTACACATCTAAGGCTTCCAGCCAAAAACAAAGGTAATTTTAAATATTGCACCACCAAGGAAAGGTTTCGCTCTTTCCATGCCCCTACTTCCCACAGCCCAAAGAGCATCTTTCTGCTTCTCACACCATCTTCACAGCTCACACCATCTTCCGCCGCTCACACCATCTTCCACAGCTCACACCATCTTCCACAGCTCACACCATCTTCCACAGCTCACACCATCTTCCACAGCTCACACCATCTTCCGCAGACCTGCCTGCTCAAGCCAACACTCAGAATCCAGAGTGACCTTGCTCCCCAGATAGAAAACAACACTCATAATCTTAGCAACTAAACAAGAAATAATAATTCTTCCTTCTGGGGCACTATGTAAACTTTCTGAGAAGAAAAAAAAAACAACTCTGCAGACCTCTACTTGGCTAGGTTGAGTCAATGTCTACTATAAATTTAAAACATCAAAAAATTTTCAAGAAGAGTTCACATCCAAGTCTTCATGATTGACACAATCTGGTTATGAACTGTGCTGCTCTCGGGGCCTCTTTGCACGCCGCAGAAGCAGTAACTGGAGAAAGCTTTCTTTTCTGAAAGAAAACAGCAAAGACATCTCATTTGAATGACCTATCCATGCCAACTCAGGAGGTCAAGGAAGCAAATGGTAAGGAGAGAGCGCAGTCACCACGGAAACTCTTCATGATAATAACATGGGCACTGATATTTTTGACACACATACTTTTAATTCAAAAAGTATAATCTGTCTTTATTAAGAATGTTAGAATAAAAAACATGAATAGCAGCTAAAGTCAACAACTATTGAACAAATTACTAATAATGCCTAAGGTCGCCTATGATATTTCAACCCCTACAGTACAGTCAAATATATAAATAGTACAATACATTGCTTAAGTGAATTAATTAAACCAAGTTTCTTTCCTTAAAAGTCTCTGAAATTGAGGCTGGAGAGATGACTCTGTGGGTAAGAGCACTTGTTGCTCCTCCAGAAGACCTAAATTCAGTTCTCAGCCCCTATCAACCGCCAGTGACTCTAGTTTCAGGAGCTCCAACACCCTCTCCTGGACTCTGCAGGCACTACACACATGGAAAGATGGGACTGGGATGGGGGGAAAGCAAGGTTTTTAAATTCTCTGAAATTGAGCTCCAATTCATTGAGTTGGTGCGGAAATTAAAATGATACAATTTGAGTGACTCTACTCATGAAATGCGTAGGCATTAGCATCTTGCCTTGGCACATGGGACACCTGGACTCTGGGGAGCGAGAGTTCTATATCAAATGCTAGTCCTAAGCCCATAGCATATGTGTGTTATCTAAATGAGAGTAGGAAACAAAAAGATAAAATATTATTTTATATAACTATATAGTATATAAGTGTAATATTGCATTATATATATTTATTTAATAAGCTCTTGGGACTGCCAGTGCTTTGTCCCACAGCCATCATTCGCACTATGGTCCAGAAAGCAGCTCTGCCAGATGAGAGATTCACTCACAGTGTCCCTGCTTTGTCTCTACTCGGGGCTCAGAGAAAGAAGCAGCCTTATGAAAAGGCTACAATTTATATTATGTGTATACCTAGTTAGTGAATGAGGGGTTTTTTTTATTTTATTTTATTTTTATTTATTTTTGGTTTTTCAAGACAGGGTTTCTCTGTAGCTTTGGAGCCTGTCCTGGAAACTAGCTCTTTTAGACCAGGCTGGCCTTGAACCCCAGAAATCCGCCCGCCTCTGTCTCCCCATTGCTGGGATTAAAGTGCGCCACCACTGCCCAGCTGAGAATGAAAAATTTTATGTCTTCAGTTGCCATCTCCTTATAGCAAACTTACTCACACCTTAAACACATTTATGAAGGAATTTAAGGTGTTCTATTTAATATAAATTGATACAAGCTTTTTTTTTTTTTTGGTTTTTCGAGACAGGGTTTCTCTGTGGTTTGGGAGCCTGTTCTGGAACTAGCTCTTGTAGACCAGACTGGTCTCGAACTCACAGAGATCTGCCTGCCTCTCAAGCTAATTATTTCTATTTAATTAAGACAACCTGGCTCCTGTCCTGTGTAGCTAATTAGGGCTAAGTCAGCAAGTAGGCGGTTTGGGGGCCTGAAGCAAGGCTGGATATACTGATCTCCTGTGCTTTCTGGTGGGTGGGGCACGAGGCTAACAAACCACCAGAGAGCACTGCCCAAACCTGTGCTGCCTCCTAACTGACAGTAAACTCCATCCATACCAAGGAGGGCAGAAGTGGCACTTCTCTAGGTCTTGCCATGGCTTCCCACATCCATCCACTCTCCTGCCGTTCCCAGAAGCACGTGAGATCAGAAAAAGGCAAATGGCTCAACTCTTCGAAATAGTTTCCAAAGAAGAAGTAAGACTGTCTCGTCAGAGACAAATGGGAAACTAAGACAGACTACAGATGGAAGTAGATCCTCCTTCTTCTTTGCTGCTGAAATCCCATACAGTCACATCGCAGGCCCAGCCCACCCAGACATGGAGTACCCTGTACAGGGAGTTTCCTTTAGTATTGCTTTTGGCTCCTGAGGCATTTCTCACACTGTGAAAATGAGCCAACTGTCTGAGGGCCCAGAGAACCAGACACTGTGTGGTCACCTCTGTAGCTCTGGCTGGTTAGCAGTGCCGAGTTCTCCTCCAAGAATTCTTGTGAGGTGCTGGTTCGACTAATGACAACCCGTGACCTGGTACAGGCTGACTCCCATGATCCTCCTGGGTTTGGTGAGCATGACAACACTGATGTGGTTTTCACTGACCTCTCCCCTTTCAGGGAGTAAGGAATACGTGAAAGACTGAGAACCATGTGTGTTTTGCTTCTGGAGTGCTGAAATGTAGGTGTGTAAAAGCTGCAAAAAGGGCTAAGCAAATTCAGAGAGCCACGTAGTAATGAAAAACGAAGGGGAAATGGCCTCATCCCAGCAGCTTTCCAATCAGCTTGCAGCTGTAGCGCTACAGGCAAAACCGGAAGGGAGGGATGCCACACCCACCAGGATGCTTGCCTCTTGGTGAAGTTTTAAAGAAGATCCCATGGCTTCAGAAACACAAACCAATAGGATTAAAAGACTCTTGGTGGTGGCGCACGCCTTTAATCCCAGCACTCAGGAGGCAGAGGCAGGCGGATCGCTGTGAGTTCGAGGCCAGCCTGGTCTACAAGAGCTAGTTCCAGGACAGGAACCAAAAACTACGGAGAAACCCTGTCTCGAAAAATAAAATAAAATAAAATAAATAAATAAATAAATAAATAAATAAAGAAGAAGAAGAAGACTCTTACCACCACTGGCGCTACTGATAGAGCAAAGTGTAGTCCTCCACCAAGGAGTAATCTGGGTCTTCTGCAAAGAGGAGAACGCGAGACAAAATTAAGCCAGCTAATCAATGGGCTTGATAAACCCAGTGTTTCTCAACCCGTGGGTCACAATCCCCTCAGGGGTCAAACAATCCTTTCACAGGGGTCCCCTATCAGTCAGATAGCCTGCATATCAGATATGTACATTACGATTCATAACAGTAGCAGAATTACAGCTGTGAAGTAGCACCGAAAATAGTTTTATGGTTGGGGGTCACCACGACACAAGGAGCTGTGTTCAAGAGTCATGGCGTTAGGAAGGTTGAGAACCACTGACTTAACCCTTTGTAGATGGAAGCAGTCCACTTCAAGACTCGGGTAACTGCCTTTCTGTAATGACTAAATACATCAAAATACAAAATATGAGCACCAAATCTCATAGTTGATAGTCATGACTACAAACCAGAGGACATTCTAGAAACCATTTTTAGAAATTTGCTCTTTTTCATCCACGCCCATATTAGCATCCATGGTAAAGTCACCATCAGAAATGAACAAGTCACTCATTATTAAGTGGTAATGAAAGGCAGCAAGAAGTAAAATAACTTAAATATTATTTAAATATGATCAATCACTATTTTTTAATTTTTTGATACTTATTTTTTATGCATATCTGTGTATGTGTTCAAGGGCTCAGCACACATACAGAAGTCAAAGGTTAACTGGTGAAGGTCAGTTCTCTCCTTCCACCAAGTGCGGTCCGGGCATCGAATTCAGGCTGCTGACCTTGACAGCGAGCACCCTCTGAGCCATCTTACCGGCCCCAAAATTCTTAACAGTCTTGAAACTTTTACTGGGATGCCAAATCACTCTTCCCTCAATCCCCTGTGAATACAGCTTCTTAAACGGCTTGTGCCCAAAATGATAACTTTTTAAACACGCTATGTATCTCCTACCACGCTAAGGGTTTGAGATGATGGGAGAAGGCAAAGTGCCTCTCTTCAAAGCTGTTGTAATTAACCAGAAAATAGAACTGACAAAAAAAAATGTTGGTATGTGTGTTCTCTCTACAGTATTGCAGAGGGAAAGGAGCTCAGCATGATCTGAAAACAAGTCCTTGTTGGGCCGTGTGCAACATTATAATTAATAATAGAGTGAGAAGTCTTACAGTAAGATTCAAATACAGGCACAATCTCTTAGGAACTCAACCCTATCAGGAGTGCTCAACCCACCACCCGTGGGCCACACGCAGCCCAGGATAGCTTGGAATGTGGCCTGACACAGACTCAGAAACTTACTTAAAACACATCTCTTTTTTTTTGTGTGTGGTAACTAGACTGCACAGTTCTGTCTCAAGTACGGACTCTGTAGATGATGGAGCCATGTCATAAGGTCAACAAGTCAGATGTGCCTGGTTCTTATTTTAATCTAAGAACATCTGCCCTGGAAATCCCAAGAGGCATACCTGGTAGATGTTTAGGAACTGGGAGAGGTCCTCTCCTGGAAGAGATGAAAATCAAAGTCTTTCGGGTGAACTCTTACTATTTTCTTATCTTTCTACTCAGTCAAGGCAAACAATCTACAGCCCTGACTTGCGGAAACCCAAAGGGCGGGCGCATATGAATGCACAGGAGTCAGGAATATGGAGCTCTGCCCAGGGCCCGCTGACAGGATTTTCATCTCAGCTGTTGATCTCCTCGCATCTCAGAATCTTTGTACATGGACTGAGAAACACAAACAGCTCTCGACTCTGCGAGAGTTGTCTGCTCAGTCAGATGAACGGTTTTGAGTGGTCCTTACGATTGACAGTGTGCATTGACCTCTCCCCCAAACACCCTCCACTTTTCCTAAAACTGGACGGAAAACTTGCAGATGAGACCTCACTCCACCCCACCCCCACGGTTTGGCATGAAATAAAGGTTTCTTTTCCCTCCAGACCCTTTATATTAGGAGCAGCATACTTTCTGTGCAATGGGCCCAGTGGAAGCGGCTTAGCTCTGCTGGCCACACTGTCTCTGAGGCACCTCTGCTCAGGTCTAGTAGGAAAACAGCCATATAGAAAGAGAGATCCGCTGACCACGCTCCAATAGCTTTCTATGTGAACACCGATCATTTAAAAATATAAGCCAGGGCTACGTAGATGAATCAGTGATTATGACTGCTCACTGAAAGCCAGGCAGTGGTGGCACAAGCTTTTAATCCTAGGAGGCAGAGGTAGGCAGATCTCTGTGAGTTCAAGGTCAGCCTGGTCTACAGAGAGGGTTCCAGGACAGGTTCCAAAGTCATCCAGAGAAGCCCTGTCTCTAAAAACAAAAAACAAACAAAAAAAAAATGAGAGTGCTCGCTGCTCTTTGAGGAGACCCAACACCGGCTCCTAAGAACAATCACCTGTAGTTCCAGCTCTAGGGAATATGATACCCTCTTGAGGCCTCTGTGGACATTCACAGACACACAGCATGTAACGACACAGACAGACACATATACACACAGATAAAATAAATTTAAAAAAATGTAAGCCTGGTGTAATAGCTCATGCTTAGCACTCGAGAGCTGGACTAGGAAGATCTCTGTGAGTTTAAGACCAGTCTGGGCTACAGAGTGAGATCCTGTCTCAAATAAACACAAACACTCATACACACACATTTTCAGTTGTGTGGTGGGGCTGGATGTGTGCACATGCATGCAGGTGTCAGAGGCTGAAGAGGGCAGGTGCCCCTGGAGCTGAAGTTACAGGAAATTGTGGTACTGGGAACCAGGGGGGGGGGGGGGGGGGGGGGGGGGGGATCCTTCTTAACCCATAGGCCCTATAAAAACTAGTAGATCATATCCGACTCAAAGGAGGGCATAGCATAGTGTGCTTATTCCTGTTTCCTATCAGCCATAGAAAGGCATAGAATTTATAAACAAGTAATAACAGTCATACTCAAGTATGCTATAGAACCCTGGAAACCACAGCTAATAAAAGCTATATATTATTTGTTCTAAAAGCGCTATTTCAAAAAACTAAGTTACATTACTAGGTAAATTATGTCAATTTGGTCAATTAAAAATAAAAGGTAATGTCTTAATATAATTCATTACATTAATAATATAAAAATTTATTAAAATATTTTCTTTACACGAAAAGCAGTTGGTTATTACCTTGCTACATTGGGCCCTGTAGTCTTTCCTTGTGGGGCTGCATTCCGCTGAGAAGAGTAGAAATTCTCATACATGATGGGTGCTGCAATTTTTAAGACATATGACATCAGAAACAGGTAAAGGTTGGGGTAGAACACTTGCCAAGCCTACAAAAAGCCCTGGCTTCGTCACCCAGTGCTAAAAGACACTGAGTGCACATGTCTGTCACCACCTTGGTTCTCAGGAGGTGGAGGCAAAAAGATCTGGAGTTCCATGTCATCCGCAGTTGTACAGCAAGTTTAAGATTAGCCTAGAATATGAGACCCTGCCTCAAAATAAATAAATAAATAAACAAACAAACAAAAGGTAGGGAGACCTAGAACAATCTCCAAAAGCCTGTGTGTTAGAGACTTTGTCCCCAGCTTAGCACTAACAGAAGGAATAGAACCTTTAAGAAATATAACCCAGTAGGAACAAACCAGGACAGGTCACCGCAGGCATGGCCTGGTCTGCTCCTCTGTCACAGCTTGGCTGTAAGATGGGCAGTCCACTGGGCTGTTCTCTACCACAGTGTGCGGCCTCGCTAAGCCTCGAGAGCAATGGCATCAATTGGACTAAAGCTTTGAAAAACTAGAGCTAAAAATAAACCTTTCTCAGACAATTATCACATGGACTCACTCATAAGTGGCTTTTAGACATAAAGCAAAGAAAACCAGCCTACAAATCACTACCCCAGAGAACCTAGACAACAATGGGGACTCTAAGAGACAGATACATGGATCTAATCTACATGGAAAGTAGAAAAAGACAAGATCTCCTGAATAAATTGTGACCATGGGAGAGGACAGAAGAGGAGGGGGGAAGAAGGGAGGAGAGCAGAGAAAAATGTATCATTCAATAAAATCAATCAATTAAAATAAAATTAAAAAGTAAACTTTTCTCTTATTGGTCAGTTTACATCAGCTATTTGTTACAGCAGCCGAAGCTGACTGATACAGCATCTTACATCCTCTGTAACCCAGGACAAGAAAGACTGATACCGTTGCTTAGCTGCGCCCCATGCCACCCAGCTCACCTGGTGGGGTATGTCCAGTTTTCCGCTGGTTCACAAAATATTGAATATCCTTTTCAATGCTGCACAGTTCCAAACTCTTACGGACTTGTTCATACATCTGATCAACACAAGATAAAGCATTATGCAGAAGTTTACTGATGAGAATTAAGGCACCGCTCTATAGAAAAGGAACGTTAATGAGCAGCCAACTCTTTTGCAACTTTGTTTTGAAAGTAGGAGACATTCCCAAATCCAAGGGTGTTGTGGGAACTCCTTCAGCCAGTAGCCTTTAAGATACCAGCCCACTTGGGTGTGGCCTCTTATACTATTAATGCCAACACAAAGCCTGTGCTTGCTCTCTCTGCTGCTGGATTTGGCTCCTGTTCCCCTTTTGTGCAGAGGACTATAATCTGTGAGTCTACCTCTAAATAAAGAACCCTTGATTATACTCAGATCTAAGCTAGTGTAAAATTATTTTATAGCATCCACCTGCACAAGACTCACACAGGGCACCATTCTAGTACATCTGGGATATTGACTTTTTTAGATGAAAAAAAATTAAAATGCAAGGAAATATTCCTTTCTGGCCAGGCCAAAACCCTGGTTATTTTTTTAAGTATTGATGGAATAAAAAAAACTATATGCCAAGTCCCATGACTAAGTCTCAGGGCCACCCACAAACGCAATCACAACTACTTAACCTGAGGATAAGTCTTTCAATTCGATTCTGTGGGTTTCCTGGACATCTGATCATTCTAAAGTCATGTCCCATCTGAGAGAGAGTGGGGCTATTACTTAGCAAAGGCTGTGATAACCACGTCCGGTGTCTTTGATATCTGGGGACCCAGTTACCTTTGCTGTGCACAAGTTAATTCTGGATAAGCACCATGAAAGACAGAAGCAAATCCTCACCCTGGGGTGACCATCAGCCTGCCATGAGTCAGTCTGCTAATACTTGGTACAGGAAGTGATGGCATTCTACCCTGGAGCTGTCTCTGGGACTCACATTCATCTGTGACATTTCTGGTGTTTAGGTTTCCTTATCTGCTAACTCGCAGTTTCTCAAAGAGTCACGATGGTAAAATGGACCAGGAGTCAGGAAGACGACAGCAATGCTCACATCTTTATCACTCTGTACCCCAAATGGAAGCAGGAAGTGGGGAGAGGGTGAACTAACAGGCATCCATGGCTCTTGCTGCTCTGGTGGCTCTCACACACAGAGTTTCTGTGACTGCTTCTCACTTACTTCATCATCGGTGACACACTGCTGCGACAGCTGATTCAGATGTAACCACAACGCATTCCGGAAGAAGTTGATACGCTCACATTCTTGAGCCTCAAACACCTACAGAAAAACAGTTACATGTACACGCATACATAAAGAAGGGGCATCCGTTTAGACTGGCTATGACGTGAACACTATTAACATACATTGATGGGTGGAGTTTAAAGAGTAACGCAGAAGAAAGTGCTTAGTGTGAGCATAAAGCCCCACAGTATCAAATTGTAGAGATAAGTCAAACGAGGTTCATTTCATCAAATAAGATCAAACAAATGAGATTAAAAAAAAATAACACTGAAGTTGGTCTGGGGTACGGCTCAGTGGACCGGTGCTTGCCTAGCATGCATAAGGCTCCAGGTTTGATCATCGGCACCTCCCAAAGGTAAGAGAAATCACAAAGCCCTGGACCTCACACCAAGGGCATCCCCACTACCGTGAGAGAGGAGAAAGCAGGTGTAGAGAGTAAAGTTTAGGCTGGGACAGGCTGGAACTTGGGACTTGCAGACAACTTCAAAAAACATGGCTGGGGCTGAGAACATATCTCAGTGGTAGAGCATATACAAGCGTGCGGTTCTAGGCTTGATTCCCAGCACGCGCGATGCATGCATGCACAGCGTGCTGGAGGAGACAGACACAGGGACAAAGAGAGAGTATGTCCACGCCCAAGAGGTGGGGAGACTGTCGAAGGGTACAGGCAGGCCCGCTGATCATCATAAGACCTTGGCAGGGCAGGGAGCAGCTGCTTCCCACTTAAGGAGAGCTGTGAATTGGCCATTGTAATCCCTGAATTCACAGAGACTGCCTTCGAGCTGCCACCCTAGAGTTCCTGACTGAGAGTCCACATTTCTACCCAGTCCTCGGATAATACTGGTTCTGCTGGTCCTGGGACACTGTTAACAACTGGTGCCAGAAAGCTGAGGAACTTTCTTGTGTCTTTTAAGTTTTCTCTAGAAAATTACAGAGTCCTGTGTATTCCCCTTTGAACCTAGCAAGTACAGGCATGACTCTCAGAGGAACTACAGCGCTCAGTCCGCCACTAACTGATGCAGCCGGGTCATTCCCGCGCTAACCAAATATTAGACTAACGCTTTGGAAGTGAGCTGGATGGTGAGGTCAGAGTGAGGGAGGGGCCAAAAAGATGAGGATTAGAGGAAATTACTCCAATCCCTTCCATTCTCCACTTAAATCCTCAATTTCTAACTCGCCCTCGCGCTCAGTGACTGGATGAAGCAGGAGGGGCTAACATGAAAGCCGAGTCTCAGGTTCTAGGGGAAGGTGTGCTCTGTCCCACACTGCTTCCAGTCAGTCCTCAGGACCTACCTCGCAGGCCTTAATGTGCTCGCTCTGCCAGTCTTCTCGGACCTTCTCCAGCGTGTTGATCTGCTGCATGTAGGTTTTATCTACAATGGACGGGGAGTTGATTTAGAAACTAGACAGGTATGCTGGACTGTAGCTGTTCCGTCTGAGGCCCGTTAATCCTACATGTTCACAACAATGAAAACAGCCGCAACCAACCCTCCCCTCACCTGAATCCTCTACTGCGGTCTTTGAAGTTGCCAGTTTCACAAAAAGCTGCAAGGACCAAAACCAGAAAGAGATTAAGAGAAGCTGATTGAGGCGTCCATGGCCAAACACATGCAAAAGCAATAGCAATGGAGAGGTAAGGTCTGGTCCAAGTGCTATATACGTCCCACTTAGAAGCAAATCTTTCATCTTCTTGGCATCTGAAAACAACCACCCTGTGTCTTCCTATAGATATATCTCCCTACCTTGAGCTATGAATAATATTATATTTGGATTATATGTTATTACTTTATTTTATATTTTGTGTGTGTGTGTATATGAGTGTCTTGCATGCATGTATTCTGTGTACCACATCTGTGCCTGGCACCTGAAGAGACCAGAAGAGGGCATTGTACACCCTGGGAATGGAGTTAGGGATGGTTGTGAGCTGCCATGTGGGTTCTGGGAATCGGACTTAGGTCCCCTGGAAGAGCAGTCAGTGCTATTAACTGCTGAGCCACTGCTCCAGGAATATTACTAAATGTATTATTTAATTTATTCATATTATTATTTCAGTCCACCCACAAGAAGCATTTTGTCAGCAAAGAATACAGGAGCTGAGTTTTGAATACATTTAAAAAGAGTGCCACACCTTACTAGACCTGGATGGAGGTGGGTGGTCCTTGGACTTCCCACAGGGCAGGGAACCCTGATTGCTCTTTGGGCTGACGAGGGAGAGGGACTTGATTGGGGGAGGGGGAGNCCCCCCCCCCTCTCTCTCTCTCCAGAAGCCAAAACTGTGCTGTTGTGCTGTTTCATTTAAGGTCCAGGATATCTGTGATTTTTGTATTTTGTTCTTGACTTATCGTTCCAAATCGGCTGGAATCTGCCGGTGTGGCATGTGGATCCACATGGAAGATTCCGTTTAATAGTTAGGAGCATTAACTCTCTTTGCCTGGTCCCTGGTCTGCCACTGGCTGCTGAGGTTAAATGGCACTAATGGCAACTGCAGGATCTACCTAATCAACTCTGGTTCTTCCATTTAGCCAAACAGTTTAGGCACAGACAGCTTTGCTCTTTAGTGCACTGAATATGTTCAGGCCCCAAATGTCCGTTATTATTTCACTTGCCTTGAAATGGGAACTGTAAGCACTCTGATAAGTGATTTGAAAGGCTGCCTAATTTCCATAAATACCTGTCTGCTGTTTATGTGCAATTTTATTACATTGAAAACATTCTGAAATCCCTCTATGCATATTCCTGAGTGAGCTGATTGCAATGTGTTCCTTACATTAACACTGCAAAAAAAATAAAGAAATAAATGGAAGGCGGGAGATGGTTTTACTCCTCCTTGGGCAGTAGGAGAATGCTGCTTTCACAGATAGCATGTTTGAACAATAAGCATTTCTCTGCAGAAATGGCAAAGGCCTTTTAGCAGTGCATATCAAGACAGGCTTAATTCATTTAATTTCTCTCTCCAAACATGCTCCCTTGTCAATGCCTAGAGTCAAGGTGAAGAGAGGAGAATGGAAGAGAGACTGGAAGACGGGTGATCAAAAGAGAACAACTCAGCAACTAAACAGCCCTGTGATTTTAGCATCTGAAAACCCTGTCTGAGTAAATGAATTATGTGCTGTGTGTTATGTGGATATGTGCTGCAGCATTAAAAACAGATCTGTCTCATTTATGATACATCATCGATCAGTTGCCTCTTGCACAATGCTATTAACCTACAGCAAACTTCAGGCAAGCCAGCTCTCATGGGAGTTACTCTCACGGCCCTAAAGCCAGAATTTCCATGGGGAAAACCTAAGCAAACTCTAGACTAAATAAACACATAGAAATCATGGTGACACACACATTGGCGGGAGCTGTAAGCCACAGTAAATTGAAATGTAAGCAGGTTTGGGTGATAAAAAAAAAAATCCCATGGAGAAAGGGTGTCTTACCGCAGAACCCAGATGGCAGAATTACATGTCTAGGAACCTCACAGGCAAGCTAAAGCAACTGTGCTGGAATATGCATGTTCATCAGTGTCCTGGAAGAGAGTGGGTGTGTCCCCATTCTCTTCACCATAGACCCTAGCAGATACGTAGCTCCTCTGAGGCACATATCACATGGCTTGCTGTCTGCTCTAGCAAAGATGACTTTTTCCTTTGGAGACTGTCCTTCAGCTTCTGAAGAACAGTGAGAGAAAATACCTAATTCTGAATTGAGTGTTCTGCCTGTGCCACTACTATCTCTCTAAATTAAAAACAAAGGAAACACAGAAATCTCTGAGACAGGCGCTGTGACCAGATTTAAAACACCAATAGTTGTTGTTCTTGTTTCAGACCTTTTGAATTTGCATGAAAAATGCAAGCTACTCCCATGAAAGTTAGGGCTCATCTGTTGCCCTACTCAGTCAATCCCCTCCCATGTTCCCACCCCCACCCCCTCGCTGGTACCACCATCCTGGCATTACTTCACCATTTTTAATATCATTTAGTTCTTCCACCACTCTGAGATGTGTTTCATCCCAGGCCCACATATTAGAAAATTAGAAAATAAAGGATCAGAAATGTAGTCATTGATCAAAGTCCTGCAGAGAGCAGGTGGAAGAGAGAAGCAATTTGAGTTTGATCTTATTTGAAACTCGGTCCCTTTTATTTCATTCTAGGTCCAAAGGTGTGACTTTCTGCTTTACATCATCCAGAGTTTATAAGAATTCATCCCAGCTCAGTTGCTTTCCCTCTTTGAACCTTGATGCACGAGTTTTCCTTCATTTCATAATGAAAGTTCTTTTCTGAACTGTTTTCATTTTTTGTGCAAACATGCAGAGTCATCTCCATCCCAACACCACATGTGCACTCTGTATCCATGGTTAAAATACACACTGGTGCCCATCATTGCCTTCCATCCCTTCCCTGCTCCTGGGCCAGTAGAGTGCTGTCTGGGAAGTGGGTTTTCAAACCTTCCCATGGATTCTTTGTTCTATAATTACACTTTGTTTTATAACCATAGCCCTCCAAGAACAGCTTTAGGAGAAAGATAGGACAATTCATAGTCTGTCATCAACAGTGGCTATAGCACAAATTGAAAAAGAACTTTTGCAAAGCAATTTGGGAATATGTATCAAGAACTATAAAATTATATGTATTTGACTTATTTATATTCATTTTTTTGAAAGAAGTACTACCGCAACTTGAATGCAGAAGGTACCTCTAGGGTCTTCAAGGGACACTCTAAAGATGTGATCTGTTTGGGGAGGGGTTTAGATCACTGGGAGTGTGTCCTGAAAGAGGATTGTGGGACCCCAATATCTTCCTGCTTCTCTTCTCTGGCTCCTGAATAGTGAGGTGAATCTTTTGTTTGGTCTACTCTCATCAAATTTTGTGAAGTCCTTGCTAATGTCCCAAAGAGTGGGGCAGCTCAGTCTAAGACTGAAACCTCCAGATCAGTGAGCCAAAACAAACTTTTTGTCTTTGTGAGTGAATTTCCTCAGGTATTCCACTACAATTATGATAAACTTGCTAATACATGTATTCTTAGTACATATCCTAAAACGTGATACAAATGATAGAAAAAATGCATATAAATATAACTTATTGTCACCAAAACCTAGACTCAAACTAGGTATGATATATGTGTCAAATATATTATAGGAGTCCGTGACTGAAATAAAATAAAATAAATAAAAATAAAATAAAAAGAGTGCCAAGCCTCTTATTCCACCCACTGTGCTATAGTGATGTGCTTCTCTGATGTTGTCCCCAACGTCGAAAATGTTCAAGGGCTTTTTTTTTTCATTCTGAAGATTAGACGCCAAAGAAGTTATTGCCAGAGACTTGGGATACAAATCTATTTTTAAAAAATAATAATTTAAGTTGTTTTGTAATCTTTATTTTTAATTTTGTGAGATGGGGTTTCACTACATAGTCCAGTCTGATATTAAACCCTCATAACCCTCCTTCCTCAACCTTCTGAGTACTAGGACAACCTGCACATCATGCCTAAGCCCTAGTTGGTTTAAACCAACACAACCGCATCTCTGAGTCTTCAGGTACCTTCTCTTGTTGCTTCTGGTTGGCCACATTGGCACTGCGCTGGACAGCCTGCTCCGCCTCATCCTTGTCCCGGCACTTCTGCTCATAAGTCTTCTTGGCCTTCATTACAAACAGAAGGTGGAGATGGGTGAGCAAGATACCCAGTGTGGAAATCAGCCAACAAAGCCCTCCAGGCCAGGTTCAGGCCCAGCACAAGCTCTCGCTGGTGCTGGAATCGACAGAGATTAGGCTCTCGGAGGGAAGGTGCCCTTCACTGCTCTCTGAAAAGTCCCCAGTTTCAGTCCTTTTCCAGACTACTCAGAGTGGGGCGCCTGCCCAAGGAAACAATAACTGCCATTTGGCACCAAGTATGCAAACGCTAAAGACCAAATGCTTTGATGTGGTTTCCAGCAAGAAATAGTGCAAGCAGCCGAGCAGACCACATGTGCCATCCACACAGTGATATGTTCAACACCACTTCACAGTCATAATGCTACATATGTAGCGGTGTGACTTCTAAAAGATTTTGTTGTAGCGCACACTAAGGGACTCATGGAAAGCTAGGAAGGGAGCTGTAACAACTTGTCCCTGGCTTGCTATGCATTGTTACTAAAGCACTTAAAGGAAAGGAAGCTTTTATAATTCCAAGGTATCTTAAAACTTAAAAGAAAGGGATCTTTTATAATTCCCAGGTATCTTAAAACACAAAAGGTCATTCAGTAAAATGAGCAACAAACAAGGTTCAGAACTGCCATTAGGTAGAAAGTTCAAAAACAAGATAAATAGTGTGTGTGTGTATGTAGGAGTGTGTATCTGTGTGAACATATGTGTATGTGCCTGTGTATCTGTGTACATTTGTATGTGTGTATATTTGTGTGTCATATGCTTTGCATCACATCCTAAAATATAAGTGGACTGGTTTTTATTTTTCCAGGTGTCATGTTAACTATCCCAGCAGAGATGAGCAAACATCTACTCACCCCCATCAGGTAGCAACAGACCAAAGAGATGATTCCACTCAAGTCCAACTTGGTGGACCAATGAGTTTGACTGTGGATAATTATAGGAACAAGGGTGAAGGTCACCTACAGAAGTATGGACAACCTATGGGTAGTTATACCGCAGAAGAAATGTCTGCCCCTTCCCAGAGCTATGATCTACCCAAGTCCTTGCTGACAGCATGGCCTTGTGAAGCCCCTTATCCTGCCCTTATTTCTCTCCTGCAAGAGAGAATGTTACTGGGTCCAGTCTTGCTAGGGATGTTGGTAGCCATGATACTGACTTAGAAGGCAATAGCTCACCACGCCCAGAGGACAGAGTTCTACACCAGCTCGTCAGAAATGAAGCAGGCATTGTACCAACACTCTCCTATCCTCAAGGCCTTAATAGGAAGGAAAGTCAAGTGTCTTCCTTAACAGCACATCAATAAATGACATCACTGAAACATCATTTGAGTAGGAGGATTGCCCATGAACAGAATGTTCGATAATGTCACTGTTATAAGAACAACAGCAGCAGCCAGTGTAACTCACATCCATGGTCTTCTTGTAGTGTGTGTTCTTCTGTTTGTGGAAAGCATCCATTATATTTTCTGTCTGTGAAGAGAATACAAACACTGTCCATAAAAACTGCAAGTAACTGCTAACAGCAGCTCGTCTTGAGGGCTAAGCGTTCCACGTGGGTTTCCAGTTTAGTCTTCATGTCACTCAGAAGCCAGATGTGCTAACTATTGTCCCCTCATCACAAATGAAGACAGCACAGAGACTACACTTCTTGCTCAAGAAGTCACAGGCAGTTAAAGACACTGCATCTTATTTAGCCTGGGCACTCACACCCCGAGTCCTGAACCCTCAAAACATCACCAGAGTCTCGCTGATCACCATGGAGTGCTTTCTTCGGGAATCTAGAATCAAAGGACTTTGGCTTCCAGAAGAAGTTTTAAATGCTTGTTAAAATACCATTTGTATTTTAAGAGCATCTTTATTCTGGAAGCTTTGTCGGCACAGGCAAATTCGGAGTTCGACCTCCACTTCTGTGGCTCCTCAATGATATAGGCTTTATGACAAGTTGCCAGGGGAAGAAGGAAGTGTCTGTAGCAGTGCTAACAGAAACTGTTCTATGACCTAGCCTCATCTAGCCAGCAAGGTAAACTCCACGGAGTTCACTTGAGTACAGTTTCTTCACTGTAGTTGCCATGGTGCTACTTTTGTTAGTCAATAAATGCCTGCCTCTCAGACACAGTTCTTCTGGTCCCCATTTATCTAGCACTTTTATGCGAAGCCACTCCATGATCACAGTAGTGTTTCTGTGTAAATACCACCTCTCCATTTTCCTGATGAGCCCAAAGAAACAAAGTCAGTGTTGGTGGCTTCGATGAGGATGGCTCCCGGAGGCTCATATAGCAGAATGCTTGGCCTCTAGCTGGTGGAAGTGTTTGGGAAGGATTAGTGTGTGTGGCCTTGTTTGGAGGAGGTGTGTCCCTGGAAGTGGGCTTTGAGCCCACACCATTCCCAGCTAGCTTTCTGGCTGCCTCCTGGCTATTGTCTCAACACTAAGCATTCAGCTACTGTTCCATTGCCATGTCTGTCTGCCTGCTACCATACTCCCTGCCATGAAGTCATAGATCTCAACAAACTTTTTCTTCTATAAGTCGCTTAGTTCATGGTGTCTACACCGCAGCAGCAAAGCAATGAGACTGTCAGCAAAGAGGAAAGCTGACATTTGCACCAAGGAGCCTATTATTTATTACTGAAAATGAATTTCAAATGCAGCTCTTACTGGATACATATAAATTTAGGTTTTTATAGATTACCATAACAGACAAGCATGGATGGATTTTCAGGATATTTGGATGAAATACTTAAGGTGCTCTCACTTCAAATGGAATAAATGAAACTCCCTCCGGGGAGCTTCAGAGAACCCAGAACTTACCTCCTAGCCTTCTCTAAAGCAGAGATAGCAGGAAGTAGCTACTCGTCTAGTAATGAAAAAGACAACGCAGGCACAGTGACAGGGCTCCAACACCAGCCCCACACGGAAAGACACATGACAGATACTGGCTGCAGCCGCCGGAGAGCTGAAGTCCACGGAACTGACTAGCAAGAGCTAGTAATCACGACTCATTTTCCTGGACTACTTGAGCTGACCAATTCACAGTGCTGGCTTTGCCATGGTCCTTTTAGTCCCAATATACACTTTGCTACGCATCCAACCATCCAGTTGGTGGTTGCTACTGGTTTATAATTGATAGTCCAATGTATCTCCTTATCTCCAAGTTCTACATAGAATCAGACCCCTTCTTGGGTGCTGAGTGATTTACACTAACTCCTTACTTCCTATCAATCCCCCTCTGCCTTCACAGGGACACCAGTATTTGAAAGTTGTCAAGACCCTAAAAAACAGCCATTGACTCTAAGCAGACATGGGTAATTTCAGGAACCTGGGTGATATGCATTGCTCAAACCCACTCAGGGAGTTAGTCGAGGCTTGCCGGGTCCATCTCTATCTGCTAAGTAGCCTCGGCCTAAGTCTTCTTGTGTCCAAGCTCACTCAGGGTGACCCACTCATGGTGACATCAGTGAGCCCAAATTCTCTTGCAGGTGTTTTCGGAGGAGATGTTCTTTTAGCATTTAAGTTTTCTGCTCCGACCAAATCGAATGTGAATGTGTTTTATTATTGATGATGCAAAGGATTTAAAAATAAAACAGTAAGTTACATGTAGAGACATAGCTCAATACTGTACTTGCACAGAAAACCCAAGATCCTGAATTCAACCAGTTGCATAAGAGAAAAGGAAAGAGAAAAAAGAAAAGCAAGCAACTGACTGGTTCTTTTGATGAGTAGAAACAGCTCAATTTCCAAGAAGTGGAAGGTCAGAGCAAGCAGTGTGACAGTTTTAAAAGGGGAAGTTAGCACTGAAACATTCTTTTTCCCAAAACAAGTTCTTTAAAAAGAAAAGAAAGGGAGGGGTACCCAAAGTCACCCCAGAGTCTGTTGTGAAACACTTAACTACAATTTTCTAAATAAACTTCTGACTTTTCAATGTTTTGAAAGCAGCTTCTGCTGAGAAAGGAACTGAGTCCAGGCACTCAGCACAAGGGTCAGGGCAGCCAAGAGCACCTAGGGTGAGGAAATGACCCTTTTTAAGTGGGACCAACATGAAGAGCTCAGTTAACTACGGTATTGTGGTTCTTTTTATTGTTTTTAACTGTTCCACCTGAGACACGATATCTCCTTATCTTCTTAATGACTCTTTTCTTTTCTTGCTTTTGAGACAAGGCCACACTAAGTAATCCCCACTGGCGTGGAACTCTTTGTATAAACCAGATTTGGTCCTCCGGGATGTTAAAGATGTATGCCACCACACTCAGCTTTACGTGTTTTAAAAATTGTATATCTGTGCCTGTCTATGTGTAACCTGGGCATGTGAATCCAGTGCCCATGGTGGCCAGAAGAAACGTATACCCTTGGAACTGAGTTACAGCTGGTTCAGCCATCTAACACGGTACTGAGAACTAAACTCAGATCCTCTACAAGGGTAGCACACATTCAACTACTGAGCATCTTTCCAACCTCCCAGTTCTTTTGCTGTCCTTTCTACTAGGTGTGGTGGTGCACACATCTTTAATCCCAGCACTCAGAAAACAGAAGCAGGTGGATCTCTGTGAGTTCCAGGACAGCCAAGGCTAGAGAGAACCTGTCTCAAGAGGGGGTGGGGAAAGGGGAGGAGAGGAGAGACAAAAAAAATTATCATTTCAGAGCTGGAGAGATAATTTGTCAGTTAAGGGAACCCAAATTTGGCTCCCAGCACCCATGTTAGTGGCTCACAAACTCCTGTAACTCTGGTTTCAAAGAATGTGATGCCTCTATGGGCACCACACACACATACACAAACACACTCAAGTAAAAATAAAAATAATTCTTTGTAGGAGAGGGCATAGCAGGGATCGGAGGCAGGTATCTAAGAGAAGTAGGAGGGAGAAAAGCGGGGATGATGTAATTTACTTCAATTAAAAATAGATAAGTAAGGGGCTAGGGAGATGGGTTAGTGACTAAGAGCACTGGCTGCTCTCCTAGAAGAGGACCAGTATTCAAGTCCCAGACTCCACATGGCACTCACACCTGTCTGTAACTCCAGTTCCAGGAACCTGATGCCCTCACACAGATATATGTAGGCAAAACACCAATGTACATAAAAAAATTATTTTAAAATGTAGATGAATAAAAAGTAACTTTTTAAAAACCTGGTGCTAGGCACAGTGGTACACACCTTTAATCCCAGCACCTGGGAGGCAGAGATGAAGGATCTCCGTGAGTTAGAGACCAGGCTAGAGATACAGAGAATTAAATAGTTATATAGATATACAGAGCTCCACAGGGAGACCCTGTTTCAAAGAACAAATCCATCTGTATTTCCTTAAAGAAATGGCAGACTTGGTAATGTCAAACAAAAGAATCTGTTATCTAACAAGTACAACACCCATGATAACTCTGCCTGGAAAAAGGCTTTGGTTCAGCTGCAACCTCAAGTGTGATACACAAGCTTGAGAGAACACGTGAAAGTGTCTGAGGCAGTGTTCCTTAATCATCTGTGTCTGTCCTTCCACACTCAGAGACACTGCACAAGCACCGGCTGAGAAATAGGAAGAGGCGGCGGTGTGCAAGGAGTAGCTCTTAAGCCAGGCATAGCAGCACATGTCCACAGTCCTGGTGGAGGCCAGAGACTCAGCTATACAGTGAGCTGGAGGCCAGCCTGGGCTTCGCGAGACTGTGTCTCTAATAAAGGGAAAAGCAGCTCATGAAATGATGGCAAATGTGAGAAACGGAGACACACAGGCTCTTTTCTTCCTTTTTTTTTCTTTTTTTTTTTTTTTTTTTTTTTTGAGCAGGGTTTCTCTGTTTCTCTGTGTAGCTTTGGAGCCTGTCCAAGAGCTCATTCTGTAGACCAGACTGGTCTTAAACTCACAGAGATTCGCCAGCCTCTGCCTCCCAAGTGCTGGAATTAAAAGCATGCGCCACCACCGTCTGGCTTAGCATAATAACTTTTTCATTCCCGTCACCTTTAATATATGTAGAATAAATCCCATCAATGGAAAAAGAGTCTTGTGGGTGTTGGAGAGATGGCTCAGCAGTTAACAGCACTAGTTGCTCTTTCAGAAGACCTGGGTTCAGTTCCCAGCACCCACATGATGGCTCATGACTGTCTGTAACTCCAGTTCCCAGGGATGGATACCCTCTTCAGGCTCCACAGGCACCAGGTACACATGTGGTGCACTTGCATGCATGCAGACAAACATACATGCACATAAAATGAAAAATTAATACATCTTCAAATAGAATAGGACCGTTCCAGAGCTGCTTTGAAGATGAAACAACTCGAATTCCCCAGGGCCAGTTTCTCTAGTTGTAAGTAGGATTATTCCGTTATGAATTTCAAAGGAAGTGTGAGTCTGCCCCCCACCCCAGCTCTTCAGTCTTTGCTGCCTCGCAGAGGAGGACTGTGATCTGGATGCTCACTAGCTAGGCTATGCTTGATGCCACTGATGGGAGTAGAGAGATCTCCAGCCACTGTCTTGACAGGGGCAGCAGATCTGAAAAGAAGACACACGGAAACAGAATCACTGAATCCTGCAAGAATTTTGCCCAGGTTCTGGCCTCAGGCTTGTATGGGAAGCATTTTATTAACTGAACTATTTCTCCAGCATTCCTGCAGTTTTTTTTTTTAAAAGAAAAGTGACCTGGAGTGCAGGGCATACGCTCTAATATTGAGTCTCTAAATGGAATCTCCAATATGTAATTTCTCAGGTCAGAAAAGGTTATGATTGTATTGGGGATGGGAACCAAGCTGTGCAGGGTTTTGTTGTTGTTGTTGTTGCTACTGCTGCTGTCATTTGAGACAGGGTCATACCATGAGCTCTGGCTGTCTGGGAACTCACACTGTAGACCAGGCTGGCCTCCAACTCACAGAGATCCTCCTGCCTCTGCCTCCCAAATGCTGGAATTGAAAGTGTATGCCACTATGGCCAGCAAGTTGAGCAATTTAGCAACAAAAATGCCTGAGATTTTCTGCAGAAGAAAGGAGATATGGTAGCACATACTCCAAACTAACCTTTTTCCGCTGTAGCTTTTGCTTTTCCCTGAATTCTTCCATCCTCTTGGCCTCTTCTCTTAGAGTCTGCGCAAGCTGGATGTGACACTGGGCTACATTATCTACCTCTGTAAAGAAAATTGCAAATAAAGTCAAGACCCACATGTGTCTAAATCCAAATACACACAATGATTCAAAACTATACATACAAATCTGGAGCAAGAAAGAAAATTAAGAATAATTCTCATGGCCACCAACACTCATTGAGGTCCTTGATATGCCCGATCAAGACCAATGTTGTCTTTTTTTTTTTTTTGAGACATGGTTTCTCTGCATAGTCCTGGCTATCCTGGGCTCTATAGACCAGGCTCTCTTTAAACTTAAGAGATCTGCCTGCCTCTGCCACCACCACCCAGTTCAAAGCTAAATCTTTAGCTTAATCTCTAGCAACTGTTACTAAAACCAACTGTATGCCCAGGACTGGAGGGGCGGCAAGGAGGGTGCAGCCAAGGTCAGTCAATAACCTCACGTCCTGAGATGGATGCCAGTTTTAATTGTCAACTTGGCACGGCCTAGAAGCACCTGGAAAGGAAGTTTCAATGAGGGTTGGCCCATGGGTGTGTCTGCAGGTGGTTGTCTTAAGTTAACTGATGCAGGAAGATCCAACCTACCGTGGGCAGCACCATTCCCCAGTCAGGAGATCCTGATCTTAAAAGTGGAGAAATCAGCTGAGCACAAGCAAGCAAAACACCAATGCACATAAAAAATAAAAAGGAATCATCAAATTTGATTCTCTAGCTCTTTTTATAGTCTCTGGGTGCTTTCTATCTCTAGTCTCTCACGAGCCTAAACATATATCAAACATTCGTGCAACCTTTTAGCCTCTGAAGGTTTATTTTTCTTTATAATAGAAAGGAAAGAAGGAAAGAAAAAGCATTTTGCTCAAATTAGGCTGGGTGTGGTTTGTGTACACTTTTAATCCCAGCACTTGTGAGGCAGAGGCATCAATTGAAGAGAAAAGAGGGCATTGTCTATGGAGAAGGTGAAAGAAGTATTTCTTTATGCGGCTTTTACACCTATGGTGTATAGCACATACAGTTTGGCTTCATCCCACTGCTTTTGTGACCCCTGCCCAAGGAATATTGTGAAACCAATCCACCTCTGCCTTTAGTAGGCCATAAAGAAATTCTTCATCTTGTCTGGCAGTAGCTCACAGGACCCAGTTCCCTCCAGAGGGGCCCCACCCCATGCCCTGCAGATAGACCTAATCCTCCAGAGACCTGGAAGACTCTGAAGAGCCCGGCTGGCTTTCCCACTCAGTCTGTTAACGAGCCTATCCAATGAAGGCTCCATAAAAATCAAAACAGACATGGCTGTGGGAGCTTCCTAATAGCAAAGCGTGTGGAGATTATTGGGTGTTGCTCATACCAACAGAATGGCGTGGCTGAAGCCTGCTGAGTCCATTCCTAGAGAGTATGCTCAGAGAGGACTTAAATGCTCCTCACGCCCCTCTTCTACCCCCTCGCCTTAACCCATTGCCTTTGAAAAACCCTTTGTTATAAACCAGGAAGGGTAATTCTTTCCTTGAATTCTTGGAGCTACTGGGGTAAATGAATTGAAGCAGATGGTGGTTGTGGGAACCTGACCCTCAGCCCGTTAGTGGGCACAAGTCTAGCAGGTCTAGGAGCCTTGGGGCAGGAATCTAAGGTGGGAACTGAGCCTTCAGGCCGCAGGATCTGATCACTTCCAGTTGAACTGGACTAGAGGACACTGGCTAGTCTCCGCTGCAGACGAGATTGCTTAGTTGCTACAGGGGGGGGGGATCCTCTCAAGTGATGAATGGGCCAGAAATCTCCTGTGTTATGACACAGCCACACTCTTGTGTGACGGAAGAGGAAACAGATACCAGAGGTTCTGATGAGAGAGTGCTCAGCCAAACACAAAACACTTCAAGTATAAGTCATACACACTGTGCCTTTTGACACCTTTCACCTGGAAATCCTCTATGAGGAAAGACAGAAAGCCCCAGAAGCAGAAACCCTGGGGAACACTGAGCTGGGCAGGACTCCCTGAAGAGCAACACGACCCGTCTCAACCCAGACCTCCCAGATCCTGGTTGTGAACACATTACTGTAACTAACTAATAAAAATCTGATAGTGTAATTCCCAGTCAGATTCACAACCAAATAAGGACAACACTAGTGGACATGCCAGAGTGGGAGAGAAAAGTCCATGAGGCCCAGCACACTCTGGACTGGAGAAAGATTGCTGATACCCATTGAGAGAGCAGGTCTAGGGGAGTGGTAGGTGCCCCACGTGCCAAACGACAATAGGAGGAAAGAATGACCAGGCGATAAGTTCTTTGAAGACTGTCGTAATCAAAAATGTCTTGTAGAGCTGAGGCCATTGGCTAGAGCCACTGGCCGAGCAAGTCTGACAACTTAAGGTAGATTCCTAGAACCATGAAAAAGGTCATATATGTGTGCCGCACATCTGAGATCTAGAACTCCCAGTGAGATGGGAGGCACTGAGCGGAGAAATTCCCAGAAGCTTGCCAGTCAGCTAGCCTGGAGTTAGTAAAAATAAGAGAGAGCCTGCTTCGACAAGGCTAAAAGTGCCCAAAGTTGTGCTCTGACCTCAACACTCATCTACTCTTACACACATGAATGCATACACTAAAAAATACAGATTTCTTCCACATAAAAATGACAACAAAAAAAAAGTCTGGAAATCAGGGAGACATGGCAAGACAGATCCAGCATTGCCCTAGCGACTGAGGTCCTGTGGAAGTGTCCCCGGGGAGAGAAAAGTCACACACGAACATACAAGACGTTGGGTGTGTCTGTCAGCATCAGGTGAGGTACAGATCAGCACTCACGGAATGATGTCTCTGAGTTAAAAACAAAGCAGGACAGAGTGTTCCTGCATGGTGTTCCTCCCATTTGGAACTTAAGAACACACAGAATCTCAGGCCCTACTCCAAACTCCCTGAGTCAGAAACTCAGAAGGACCCAGGAGTCTGTGCTAACCACAACTCCCCAAGTGGCAGGTAAATGTGAGGTGTCTAGCTCAAGTCTGCTCTGCGGAGCTACTTCTCACCTTACAGTTGTGCTAAATCTTTCCATCCAATGCTAAACTACTGCTGAAAACAGAACTTGCCGCAAAAGAAAGACACAGAGCTTAGTAGCAACAGAAAACACAGTTTTGCACTAGGGGTTGGAGTGATGGCTGAGCAATAAGAGGACTGGCTACTCTTCCAGAGAACCCATATTCGATTCCCAGCATCCACATGGTATTGACAGCCACTGTAACTCCAGTTCAAGAGGATCTGATGTCCTCTTCTGGCTTCTGTGGGCACCAGGCACACACATGGTACACAGACATAGATGCAGGCAAAACACCCAGACACATAAAATAAAACACATTTTTAAAAAATTAACTTACGCTGCTTGAAGACCTCGAGGGCTCTCTTCAAGGTACTGAAAAACAAGTACATATACAATTTCAATACCGGAAGTCAAGTATATAAATTTATTATAACGTTTTCACACGCTTCTCTTTGCCTACATCTTCACTGTAGGCTCCAGGTTCACTTTTGCCCTTGAGCTTCAGAAAACAGTAAAAGACAAAACTTCTTAAGACCTACCTCCTCAATCCCAGGCATAAACAGTTCTGCACTGTCTGCCCCGGGTAGAGCAAAACCTCTGCATTCTCTCTTCCTCAGTAGTAATATAGGAATTTGATCCCTTTCTCATAAGAACAAGTTGTCATTTGAATATGAAAGCAAGACAATTAAAGAGAGAGCTCAAATCCTAGTTCACACCTTGGGTGAGTGTCCGTGGAGTGTGTGTGTGTGTGTGAGAGTCCAGACAACATCTCACATAGCCAGGCTTGCTATGCAGCTGAAGCCAGCCTTAAACTCCTAAGGCTCCGGCCTCCACTGCACACGTGAGAGGATTGCAGGTTCGTATCACCATGCTACCTCGAACATACAGAGATCCACCTGCCTCTGCTCCCGAGGGCTGGGATTAAAAGTGTGTGCCACCAAACCCGGCATAGACTTACTGATCAGAAACTGTAGGGAAAGCCTACTCCTTTTTAAAATTTTATCTTTTAATTGAAAAATAAACGTGTGCATATTTGCCATGTGCAACCTGATATTTTGAAATCTGTGTGCACCGTGGAAAGGCTCAATAAGGTAATTAACATAGCCACTGCCTCGCATCCTAACCGCCCTTCTGGAGTGGTGCGCTTACAATCTCCTCTCGGTTCTTCTTAAGAAGGATGCGTTGCTGCCAGCTAGAGCCACACATATATCTCTTGAACTTCTTTCTCCTAACTAAACCCTTAACGCCTTTATTCTCTTCCGTTTCCATGTATGTTGTACATGTGTGTGAACGCACATGTCTCCACATGTGTGGGCATGTATGTGAGTGCACGTGCATGGGCATGTAAAGACCCAAGGCTGAAGTTGGTGCTAGCAATCATTCTCTATCTCTCCCCTACTTTATTCTCGGAGGCGGGGTCTCTCAATCAAACTGAGAGCTCACCACTAGGGCTAGTCTTGCTATCCAGTTAACTCTGGGGCTCTCTGTCTCCACCTTCTAAGGCTGGAATGACAGGCAGCGTTTACACAGGTTCTGGGGAGCTGAACTACAGTCTTCACACTTGTGCAGCAAGGGATCCAACCACAGAGCCATCCCCCCAGCTCTGAAATCTCCCTAACCTTGGCCCCAGCCCCAGAGGGTTTCATTCATATCTGATTCTTTTTCAAAATTTCTAGAACATTTCTAAAAATCTCCTCACTTAAGCTTTTAATTCACTGCTTTATAAACATATCCCACATACTTGAGGTTTTTAGATCTGTTCATTACAACAATATATATATATATATATATAAAATATGTGGCAATGGGTTTTTGATCCTACTGCACGTACTGGCTTTATGGGAGCCTAGGCAGTTTGGATGCTCACCTTACTAGACCTGGATGGAGGTGGGTGGTCCTTGGACTTCCCACAGGGCAGGGAACCCTGATTGCTCTTTGGGCTGACAAGGGAGGGGGACTTGATTGGGGGAGGGGGAGGGAAATGGGAGGCGGTGGCGGGGAAGAGACAGAAATCTTAAATAAATAAATAAATAAATAAATAAATAAATAAATAAATAAATAAATATAATTCTGCTATCTACTGCACTGTTGAATCATAGTCACAGTAACTTTTGTGTGTGTATATATGCGTGTGTGTGCGTGCCTACGTGTGCGTGTGTGTGTGCATTATGAACTAAATGTTGGATCTCACTGTGTTACTTCCGCAAGGGTCTGTGTTCATGTCTGTCAGGGAAGCAGGTGCCCTTGTCCAGGGCCACTTTAACCTAAATCTGTAGCTTAGCATTCTTCAGACTGCACTGAAAAACTTGTGGTAACTTGGAACCACAGATCCTGTGTCCCATTCAGATCCATGAAAAAGACACAGAGTTTTCACAATTGGAAACAAGGAAAAAAATTATAACTTCTCTCAATCTTACATACTGCAATTGTCACTTGGTTGCACTTGCTGAGACAACGGGGCTCTGGTCAATGGTAGCCTAGAGTCAGAAGGACACTGGTACCTACTTGATCTCGGACTGTCCACATGGCTTCTTCTTGGAGAGATTCAACAGGTCTTTGCCGTATTTCTCTTCAATTGCTGCCCTAGAGCGAACAGAAGAGAAGGTCATGGGTCCTACACGGAGTTCTCAGCTAAGACACATAAGACACTGCCCCTGCAGGAAAGCTGTTCATTTACGATAGAAGTTCAGAGGTAACGTCACTGTCTAAGATATAAGGCTCGGGAATTTAAAATATATATATATATATATATATATATATATATAGAGAGAGAGAGAGAGAGAGAGAGAGGAAGAAGTAATAAAGGAGCACAGATAATACTGTGTAGAGTAACATGTTAACTACTGTAGAAAGTGTGGGGGAAAACAGAGTAAGACTAGTGATTAGTATTGGGTTGATAGAGGGAGAAAAGGAAGAGGGGAAATATGAGTAAAAGAGGGACCAGCGGGAGAGATGAGTCAGTTTTGGAAGAAGTAAAATGAAGACATCAGTAAATGCATACACTCAGATAATGTACAGCCATCTGGATCTCAGGAGGCTGAGACACAGAACCCATACAAATCAGGGAAAGTCTGTGCGCTTTGGAAAGGGAAAAGTGAAAAACAGAAAGACGAAGATGGAGGACAAAAGCAAAGGAGGCCAGAGCTGACCGGCTAATCTGACCCTGGTGTTAAGTAAGGAAGAGTAAAAAAAAGGGAAGAGAGCAACATACAGGATGGAGTCTGCTGCAGTCCAGGCTCCTTGCTAGTCTAACTGTTCCTTCCTCTGGCTCACAGAGGACTTTCATGCCCCTTTGTAAGGTTGGGTCATAGATGCTGGCCATACCTACAGTCTGGAAGCATCCTGGCCAGGTTTCAGCATGCCACCCCATGGCACTTGCATTGAGTTTGCCAAGAGCGTGGTTCAAAGAGGTCTTGGGCACGACAGCCATAGAGACTGCTGGTATTTTTTAAATGGCCTCCCATGCCTGCCTAGTGCAGAAAGGAGACTTTTCCTGGGATCTCTCCTCTCTCCTCCACCGGTGTTGCTCATCTCTTGTCTGGCCTCTCCCTCTTTTTCTTATTACTGAAAGTTCAAGTGCAGATCTCCTGAGCCTCTCTCTGGGTTGAGTCATGGCTCTTATCTAATCTTTCCTCAGCATGGAAGTGGAGTAGCTTCTCAAACCAAACCAATCCCTCCAGGACTTAGTCTCCAGCGTTGGGAAGTTCCCTACTTTACTTTGGTATTAGAACCAGCAAGAACTAAACATCAGCGCTCCAAAAGTCATCGTCCAACTTCTGAAGTGTATTGTGCGCAGGATGGAGCAGAGCAGCCCTGTCTCTTGTCCTCCATTCTTCTTCCTGCGCTCTCTTGAAGGGCTTCAGAGAATCCCCATTGCTTCCAGGAGGAGGCTCTCTAGCAGTGAGGCAACACTGGGCAGGAACCCCACCCCCAGCAAGCACAGTGGTCTGCTCTCTGGAGAAAAGGGGGCAGCGTTACTGAAGTGAAACTTGGGAGTCATGCTTGGAAACCAGGGTAACCACCATTGGCATACAGAGGAAGCATAGGGGAAGTGATGGGTTCTGAGGCCATAGCCAGGGAGGAACCACCAGGACTTTGTAGAAATCCCCTTTGACTGGAGGAACCTTTACCTAGATCACTACCCACAAATCACCCCAGGGTTCCTGTTTATCAGTTTGTCTTTTTTAAAAAATTCATTTATTTTTGAATTTATATGTATGAGTGTTTTTTCTGCATTTATGTCTGTATACCATGTATGTGCAGAGCAGGTAAAGGCCAAAAAAAAAAAAAAAAAAAAAAAAGGCATCAAATCCTCTGGATGTGGAGCTATGGATGTTTGTAAACTGCCACATGGATGCTTGAAATGGATCCTTAGTCCTCTGCAAGGGCTGCAAGGGCTCTTAGCCTTTGAGCCATCCCTCCAGCCCCTAATTGTCATTTCTGGAATATCCATCACATGCCAGGCATCCTTCTGGGTGCTCTGGACACTGGAAGACTGGAACGGAAGAGCTGCCTAATGGAGTGGACAGGTGTGTAAATCAACACTGTGATTTACCACAACAGGGTTATTTGGAAATGTAGAAAACACAAGACACAGAAGAGGGGGGTCTTGCTCCTCCACTGTTAACTGCTGATTTATTTTTTACTATAGAAATTAATTCATGTTGGCTGTAAGACAGACCAGGTCTCCCTCTACAGTGTTTTCTCTCCCTTCTGGCTCTTCTTGCCCTTCCTTCTCCCTTCCTCCCTGTTGTTCTCTTACGTTCCAATCTTATTTGTTTCCATGCATGAGGAAAGGTATGTTCTATTTGTCTTTCTCTGTCTGCCCTATTTCACTTAAATGTGATGGTGATCTCCAGCTTCACTCGTTTCCTGCAAAGCTGATGCTTGACCAGAAATGCTTTTCTCAAAGCCCTTCGTGCTCACCTTGACCCCTCCGTTCAAATGTCCCAGACCAGGAATAATAATCCACGTGCCAGATTTCCTTCACGGGCAGGATAATCAGACACAGCCTTTGCCATCAGGCCCAAAAGCAATCTCTGCTGACTCCCCGTCTGGAGTTCAAGGGAGCCCCCAAGTCAGAGTGGGTAGCCAAAATGGAATCTTTTGCCCGAGTAACTAATATGTAGCCATTTTAGCTTATTTTGCTATATATTCCCCAAACAGTGCTTCTGTTGAGTTATTAATTGCTTTGGAAGATCCAGGCTCCTTGCTCTGAGATTTTACAAATCTTGAGTACTGATGAGGAAACAGACATCTGGAGAGACGATACATGTCCCTGACAATGACCAAGGAAGCGGGACCAGAAGAGGAAGTGATTAGACTCTTGCCCTACTGCTCTTTCCTCACTAGGTCTCAACTTCCTGTCTGTCGTGGGCTATCCAAGTCTAGTCCCCATTATTTCAGACCGTACTCTTCTTTGGAATAGGGGCTCGACAGATGTAAGTAGCTAAGATGAGAACATCCTAGAGCAGGGCCAGCGCCTAATCCATCATCGCAGGAATCCTCGCAAGAAGGTGAAGACACAAGCCAAGACCTCCCTGCGGTAATGAAGAGGGTAGGGACTATGGGGATGAAACCCAAAGACTCCTAGTGACACCAGAAGCAACACAAACCACATTCTCCCTACAGCCTCCAAGAGAGCGAGGTCCTGCTCCTACCTGTCCCATAGTGTTCACCTTCTGGTGTCTGAATGAGGTCCTCCCCCTTACCACCCGGGGCTGCTCACTGATACCTCCAAGACTACCCGCCTCCTACAGCTGTCTGGGCCACCTTTCCTGCCGGAGCCCTGCAAGGATCCCCTCTTCCATGAAGTTACCCCAGAATTTTGTTGCTTCACATGTTTGTTTGTTTGTTTTTGTTTGTTTATTGTATTTTGCCAATTCCTAATTCCTTTTCTTTTTTCTTCCAAGACAGGGTCTCAACTATATAGTTCTTGGTTGTCTTAAAATCATTACATAGACCAGGCTCACAGAGATCAGCCTGCCTCTACCTCCTGAGTGCTGCTGGGATTAAAGGTGTGTGCCACCACAGCCTGGCTATTTTGTCAAGTCTTCTTTTTTGGGGGGTGGGTCAAGACAGGGTTTCTCTGTGTAACAACCCTAGCTGTCCTGGAACTCACTCCATAGACCAGGCTGGTCTTGAACTCACAGACATCCTCCTGCCTCTGCCTCCCAAGTGCTGGGATTAAAGGCATACACTGCCACCACTCGGTTTATTTTGCCGATTCTTAATCTGCCTCTTCAGGACTCTTGAATATAGTTTAATATAATTTGTGTGCTTGCTGTATTCTCTATGCTGTCGTATTTATAAATCTTATTTTTCAAATTGGTTCCTAGAATCTTTTGAACAGGCATCAATGTAGAAGAACCGTGAGTGTCAGAACTGATGTTGTAAAGTTTAGGAACAGATTTGCTGAGGAGACATTACATCACCCAAAGTAGGATTTAGCTAAGAGGGCGCTGCCTCCAAAATACACGGAGGACAAGAAGTATACTAACCAGGTCTGTTGAGATCAGTGAAATTTAGGATGTTAGGATGCTGGTGTTTGTTACAAAGATGGATCCTCAATTAGGCTTCATTCCCATAACAAAAGAACTAAATTACAAACGGTCATTAGGCTCATCTTCTTATCAAAGAACATGACTCTAAGGGGTGCCTCAAGAGGCTGCACAGGCCCTGGCCTGCCATTGAGTCCCCTGTGCCCTTGTCTGGTAAAACATACTTCTGCCAAGTGGGCAAGCTGACCCCAGGTAACAACTCTTGGAAAAGTACAACACTGGTGTACTAACTAATTCTGGCAATATCTTTGTTGTGTAAATCTCTCATCTGCCCAAGTGGCCAGTCTCATGTCTCTGTCTAAATGGTTTAAAGTGTGACCTGGGACTGGACCTAAACTTAAGGATGACAGTGTGTGTGGAAGGCACAAGCCTAGGGTGTGGATGAGTTACTAAAACCATCTACGCAGGGCCGGTTCCCCCATGGGCATTAGCCAGAGCTGGATACATGCTATGCTAAAACAAAACAAAACAAACAAAACCTTTTTTGAGAAGGCATATCAATATTTGTTAGGGAATATCATTTTAAGGTGTGTGACTTTTGCTTATGCTGCCTTTGTTTAACTCTGCGAAGCTGTGATTCTTTGTCTAAAACAGCTGATTGGTCCTAATAAAGAGTTAAACAGCCAATAGTGAAGCAGAGCAAGGATAGGTGGGGCTGGCAGGCAGAGAGGATGAATAGGAGAACTCTGGAGAAGAAGGAGAAGCAACAAGACAACAAAGAGAGGAGGATGTCAGGGGCCAGCCACCCAGCCCCCCAACCACCCAGCCAGCATGGAGTAAGAGTAAAAGTAAAATATAATGAAGTAAGAAAAGATAAAAGCCCAGAGGCAAAAGGTAGTCAGGATAATTTAAGTTAAGAAAAGCTTTCGAGAAACAAGCCAAGCTAAGGCTGGCCACTCATAACTAAGAATAAGCTTGAGTGTGTGATTTATTTGGGTGGGCCCCTCAAAAGGTCAAAAGGGTAAAACACCATTCAACAACTATTAATTCTAGAATAATCCCAGTCACTTCTTGAGATGGTTTCATACCCTGTAGCAGAGGGTCTTCAGAACCAGAGAACACAATCAAAAACAGGGTGAGATGGCTCAAGGGTAAAGTGCTTGGGGGGCAAGTCTGACAGCCAGGGTCCAATCCCCAGAACCCAGGTAAAGGTCACGTACACACTGCAGCGCACGCATGCCTGCATCCTAACAAGAAATAGTGTTCTATAAAAGAAAGACAACCAATTCCCAGACCAGGAATGGGGGCAGGGCATGTTGAAGGCCTGAGCGTCTTACCGTTCTTTTAAAAAATCCTCAAATTCCTTGCAGTTCTTGCGGCCATTGTTCAGGTGCTGGATGATGCTGTCATAGCCGATAGTGCTGAGAAAGTCTGTGTTCTGGAGGAATGAACGGCAAGGCGTCAGACCAGGAACAAGCATGAAGAAAGGATGGGGCAGAAGGGGCAGGAAGCCGGCAATTGGGACATCGCTGAATCACTTTTACAAAGATATGTGACCCAAGAGAGTACAGAAAAAAAAAAAAAAAGCAAAAATAAACAGCTGGGAAGAGGGGTTGAAACGATGAAACTGAAGAGCCACAAACCAGCAGGGACAAGAGAGGAACAGAGACTTAAGGGTGAGGGGTGAGGCAGACTCAAGTCCCTCATGGGCCTCCACTCACACCTAAGTTGGGACAGGAGAGATGACTGAAGGTTCCTACTCCAGCCTCTTGCTGGGAGCACCTTCTCGTTGCTTGGCAGAAACTGCCTCGGGCTACCAGGTGGTGGTGGCACACACAGGTGGATCTCTGTGAGTTTGAGGCCAGCCTGGTCTACAGACTGAGTTCCTGGACATTCAGGCTACACAGAGTGTGGTAGTTTGAATGTAAGTGACCCCCATAAAGTCACAGGGAGTGACACCATTAGGAAGTATGACTTTGTTGGAGTAGGTATGGCCTTGTTAGAATACATGTGTCACTGTGGGGGTGGGCTTTGAGGTTTCCTATGCTCAAGATACTTGCCAGTGTCTGAGTCTACTTCCTGATTCATTTTTAAATACATTAGTAAATACAATCTGAAAGTCTGGAGATTACCCAACAAGAGCATGACATCACAGGGAAAACCTGTGGTGTGCCAATATTCTCTTCCTGATCCACGGCATTACATGGAGAATCGACCACATTTGGTCCCTACTCTTGTCCCATAAGTCTGAGAAGGCAGGCAAGCACAGAGAAGCAGCTCCTCTCAAAACTAGAATGAAGTACCAAGAGGGCATGGGGGTAGGAAGAGAGAGAGAGAGAGAGAGAGAGAGAGAGAGAGAGAGAGAGAGAGAGCCTCAAGCTACAGGTTCATTTTAATCAGGGGCTATACAACAGTCAGTTTGTCCTTAAACCTGCCTTAAACCAAAGCCCCTGACATCTCCTCCCACAGCCAGGAAGCCCTCTTGACGGACTAGAACATCCACAAAAGGAAAGCACAAGGCACATGAGAAGGAAAGCCAGAGTGGAAGAAAGTGGCCACTGACCCAGTAGACTCATGAATCAGGGTCTGGGCCAGCACTGCTGCACATGGTTCCTGGCCCTAGTTTGGGGAAAGAATATTCAATCTTTAATTAGCAACTTCACAACCCCCTCTTCAACACAGTATTTACATTATCCTTTGCAAAATCCAAAGCCAGCCTCTCGACTCTCAGGTTTTCTGAGTGGCCCAGTTCCGTCTTCTGAGTTCTCTGAATTTGGCACTCTGTATTGCTCACGCACAAATTTCTGTCCCAACTCTATTGAATGTGCCTTGAGTTTTATTCAACCCTGTCAACCGCCCCTGCACCCATCACAGAAAAATCTCCCTTAATGTTATGTACCTCACAAGCCCTACGCAGAAGTGTGCAGGGTGAGATGTCTCCATCCTAACACAGAAGGACAGGACAACAAAACACACCCCTGGGGATGTGAACAGAGGAATATAGGCTCATTGTCAAAGTCATTTTGTAGACAGACGTCTCCATTCCTACCCATCAAGAATGCTAGACTTCTCTGTACTGTGACATCTGGGAGGTGGTTTCCCTTTTCTTAATTAAGGGCACAGATAGTTTAGGTCTGTCTAGTGGGGCAAGGAAGCTAGAACAGTTTCCCGAAAACACAGACCTCCCAGCTGCAAGGCTCAAAAACAAACAGGTGCCCCGTCACTCTAAACCAGCGAAGAAAGAGAGGCAAATGAGAACTAAGAAAAGAGTTTCCCAGAAAAGCAAAGCACCCGGCGCCAGCTCCAAAGCAGCAGAAAGACTGGCCTGTGCTGGCCAGAGAGCAGGAGTACCAAAGTGAAGGACAGTCAGGGAATGGGAGGGTGAAGCAAAGCAGAGCAGTGCACACGCAACACAAGATAGACCAAGTCACACAGCACCAAGGGAGAGAGCCCGCGGAGAGCTCAGCAGGCAAAATGCCTGCTTCACACAAAGTGTGAACAAGTGAGTTCGGTCTAGGCACCCACGTGAAAGTCAGTGGTCACAGCACATGCTTGTCACTGGCAAGGTAAGGATGAGCAGATCCCTGGAACTTTCTGGTTAGCAAGCTTCAACTGCTCAGCAAGCTCCAGCACGAGACTGTCCCAGTGAGAGAGTGTCCCAAGAAACAAGGTGGACAGCTCCTGAGGGGAACTGCCAGAGGCTGGCCTCTAGCCTTGATACACTTAGGCACCAACACGTCCACAAAGACAAGAGGAAAAAAGGTCAGGAGGGAGGGAAGAAAGGGAGGGACAGAGAAGGAGAAGTGAAGGGAAGGTGGGCAGAAAATAAAAATATAACTAGTGGGGCTGGAGGGATAGCTCAGAGGTTATTTGCTCACACACACACACACACACAGATTAAAAATAAATCTTTTAAAAATAAATGTAAATAAATAACAAAATAAAGGAGAAATTAATTTATTTTTAAACTAAAAATATTGGGCCAGAGATTACTGTGGCTTAGTTGGCAGAACACTTACCTAATATGCAGACTCCTGGATTTGATAGAGATAGATATAGAGAAATGATAGATAGAATAAACAAATGATAGATAGACAGACAGACAGACAGACAGATGGCTGAATAACACTGGCAGTTCTTCTAGAAAACCCAGGATCAATTCCCAGCATCCACATGGCAACTTACAACTGTAACTCCTGCTTCTGGGGACCTGACATGCTCTTCTGACCTCCTTGGGTACTAGGAATACATACAGTGTACATACATAAATGCACACAAAACACTCACCCATGTTAAAAACAATACTTTTTAAAGTGCTAGAGACTGAGCCCAAGGCCTGACACATGCCAATGAATCATGCCACTGTTGGGTCCAGGGGGGTCACACAAAGATGAGAACACCACCAAGTCTAATAAACCAGAAGCAAACTTTATTCCAGAAACCGGATCCTAGGAAAACCAGAAGAAAACTTAAAAAAAAAAAAAAAAAAAAAAAAAAAACCACAGGGCACAGAAGCTTATCAGCTAGTTGAGACCACAGCCAGAGACAGTGTTTGTTAGGCTGTGGCAAAGACTGGTTTTTGAACCTATCTCTTTACAGTAGGGGCACCGAGCATTATGTCTGAACAAAGGAATTTTTATGATCTTGCCCCAACTAACAGAGACCCTAAGGTCAGTCAACAGAGACCCGAAGGAGGGAAGTGAGTTCTAATGACCATGGGTAACTAGGCAACTACCATGAAATATGTTTTAGAGTAGATTACAGCGAAAGTCACTAATTGTAGGAAAACAGGTGTCTTTAGCAATTAGTCAGAAAAGGGACTGCTAGTAATAGCAGAAGGTTAATAAATTAGGATTAATTGGTTCTTAGGCTAGGAATTTAGAAGATAGCAGAAAGTTCTTCACACTATCTCAAGGTAAAACTCGGATACAGACAGGCATACTTCACAGCCTCCATTATCAGAGCTCATTAGTTAAATCAGGTGTTTGCACCGTGGTCAGTTTCTCCTGGTACCTCCAGGCAGTGTGTACTGGAGGCCCATGCCTCCCCTTGGCTGGTGCCAATTTTCCATAATGGAGACAGTGTCTAAACCAGAGGTCGCGTATCTCTGTCTCCTAAAGGTTAACTCAGTTCACATCTGTCATTTATCAGAGTTGGCCAGGACACCACTCTCAATCTGCAGGGAGAAGCTCTGGCCTTGTAAATAAAACATCTGACTGAACAACGGAACGACCTAAGCTGAGGGAGGCTTCCCAAGCATCTGAGAAAACAGCTCACTGTGAACGACTGATCCTTGATCTGCTGAGAAAGCTGCTGACAGTCTGCTCTCATTCTCCTAGACTTATAACTTCATATTTCTTTATTTCTACATTCTTTTTTTTAATATTTATTTATTATGTATACAATGTTCTGTCTGAGTGTATGCCTGCAGGCCAGAAGAGGGCACCAGACCTCTTTACAGATGGTTGTGAGCCACCATGTGGTTGCTGGGAATTGAACTCAGGACCTTTGGAAGAGCAGGCAATGCTCTTAACCGCTGAGCCATCTCTCCAGCCCCCTATTTCTACATTCTTATTGTTGGAATCTACATTTTAATTTTCTTATTCTTGGACTCTTCAGCCACCACTATGCTACATCCATGGCCCTAAATACAAGCACACACATAATGTTTTCCAAGTCACGGCTACTTTAAAAGGTCTATGCAGAGAACAGACCCCTTTAAACCAGTTCCGTCCTGCACCGGTGCCACTGTTATTGCAGTTCTTGCTTATTAGCGAAAAACGTCATTCATTTCTGGTTTATTCCTTTTTCTTTTTGTACAAATGAGCAGGATCATTTTTTTTTATTTTTTCCTCTGTCTCAGGCCAAAGTAAGTGGAACAGAGCTGGAAAGACCGCTCCATAGTTAGAGTGCTCACTGCTCTTCCAGAGGACCTGAGTCCTGTGCCCAACACCCATGTTGGGTAGCTCACAACCCCTTGGAACTCTAGCCTGTAACTCCAGCTCCATGGGATCTGATGCCTCTGGCCTCCATAAGTCCTCACACTCATGTGTATACACACACACACACAAACACACACATACATATACATAATTTAAAATGACAAAACTAAATCCTGGGAGCTTGTACTGTCTCTCCAGACTTGCCCCTTGAATACTTCTGAATCACATACAGATGCACAGGGTAGAGGAAAATAATGCTCTGATGGGCTAAGGACAAGAGCCATCCCGTAATCTCCTGGTAACAGTAATAAATCATTCCTTATGGACAGGCTTCGGAACAATGCAGTTACTCTAAAAAACTGAACACCAGCCAGGCATGGTGGTGCTCACCTTTAACCGCAGCACTCGGTCAGAGGCAGGAGGATCTCTATGAGTTTGAGGCCAATCTACACAGTGAATTCCAGGACAGCCAGGGCCATGAAGAGAGAGAGCCTGT